TTTCAACGGAATGGCGTTGGAATTTCTGTACTGGTGTTCAGTGCGTCTCATAGGTCTGTGTTGCTCCGTAATCGTTGATGGAATTCTGTCGACTTATGTGGTCCGGTCAGCGGTTCCGTTATGGGGGGCCTGTCCTCCGTTGACGCCGGCGAGGATTCTGTAACACGTGGTTCCATTCTGGAAGGTTGTGTGGATCTCTGTAGCCATCTATGCTGACGTCAACATAGCCCCGCCCGTTTTTGTTGGACACTTTTTCTCTCTGTGGCCAGCTCACGGATTCTGTTGATTGTACGGAATTTTAACGGAGCCAACCAAATTCTGTTGTGGACAGACAGAGGGGGCCACCTCTAGCCCCTGGTCCATTTGGGTTGGTCGCTTGGCATGTGCGCAGCATGTCGGCTAGTCGCTGGGCATGCGGGTGGCTGGCGTCGAGTGCGGGCCTCACAGGCCATGGAGCTTCCTGGGTGCTTCCCACGCAGTGGGTGAATAGCTGGGCGGGAATACGTGGCAATTGCCCGCTTGTTGGCATACATCCGGGCCCTAACGGCCCCTGTGGGTTCCCTGTGGCCTCATGGCGAGTTGCTTGAGGGGTATACCTCTGGTCTGGTTGCAAACTGTCGACCGAAGCCACACCGGCCTGGAATCCTAGGCCTCATGGGGCACCAGCTTGGTAGTATGGGCATTGCTCGGGTCACCAATAATGAGCCCATTATGGCCTAATAATGTGCCACTCATTTGCGACAAGCTGGTGCCCCGTGAGGCCCAGAGTTCTGCAGCATGGGACTCCGGTACGGGGGAGCCATGGCCAGCTAGAGGAGAATCATATGAGCAAGGGGGTTACTGGGGCAGTATCGGCAGCCCAGGCTACGGCAACAGGACCCAGGCTCAATGACAACCTGAGCGATATGCTCTCATAACCCGTCCAACTAAGCAGCGCAGTCAGGGAAGCACATCCGAAGCCACACGGGCTATCGGGGCTCTGCGCCACCCCGGAAGGCGGCTGGCCTCCGCAAAATCATGCAGCGCAGGCCCGCCGGCAGGCGACCCACGCAACTCAATCAGGGATAGACAGGGGAGGACCCTATGGTGAGAAATCGGAGCAATGCACATCGCTGCGTCGGGCGGCTCCGTGAGCATCCATGGACCGGTGATGGAGGGGTGCGGCCGCACGGTGGCTGATTGTACCCGTGCGGGGACAACCCCCTTCCGCCGGGGGAAAACCATCGCCTCCCCAAGGCCTTTCAGTCTGCCTGTAAAGCTTTCAGGCAGGGAGCTTTTTGTTCCAGAGCCCCTGACTCGAACGCCCCGGACCCGAGCCACTGAGTCTCGACGGTCTGGGTGAGCATGGGCAGTGCGTAAGGCTGACCGCATCGATGTGAGCCAGTGGGATTATGAAGGAGGGGCCTCACGCCGATCTGACTGGAGGAGGTCTGCAGCAGGGCCCCCGTGGGGGAAACGCATAGGCCCGGAACCCTGGGTGGGGCTGCGCGGAGGTAGCGGGGTCGGCCGGCTCCGTGGCCTGACGGATGGTCCCTGGGGCTGACTCAAGGGGGGGGCCTGGTGCGGGTGCAGTGTGATGAGGTATCGGGATATCGCTGGTAGGATCGGGCAGAATCGGGCGCCATCAATTTGGCTTGTATGTTATTGCCCCGTGAGCGGCACGGAAAAGGACCAGTTGATATGCACGCCTTCCGGACTGTCAATATAAGGTAAAGGGGGTTATTATGGGGTAGGAAAGGTGTCATTCGATCAGAAATTTGATTTGCAATCGAATGGTGTTTTCGGTTTTTCGTTTGACAAAGAATTGAGGGTTTTAGTGGGATTTTCAGCCAGGGATTGAGGGGCCACAGGGAACCAGGCTGTCCGATATGCATAGGAAAGGACTGATTTGATTGATGATCCGTTAGGGGGTTGCGAACGGGATGTTGAGGCGTGCATGCACGGATTCCATGTGGATTTCGCGGTGTGCGCGCGCAAAAGCCCTCCATGTTACCTGAGAGCTGTGCAAGGATGGCTGGTGCCCCGAACAGCTCTGCGGTTGCATCCCGCATTGACAAGATCCTGGAGTGGCGCCACGCCCAATCTCTTCAAGGGTTGAACGAAGTCAAGGACTTCTGTGGCCAGCTGGAGCAGTTCCAGGCCATGCGGCTCGCAACGCCAGGCGTTCAGGCGTCCAGTTCCAGCGGAGAGCCACAGGAGGACAAGTTGTGGAGGCGGGCGTGCGATTTGCAGTGTGCCTTGATGGAGGTCTGGGATAGAGGTGGCCACTCAAGGGTGCCATCCGGTCCGTCAAATCCGGTTCGTTCATTTTTATCAGCTGTCCGTTAAATTTCGTTAAAGAAAAAGGGAGAAAAATTCAGAAAAAACGAAAAAAATCCAAAAAAATCGAAAAAAACCCAAAAAATCACAACAACTGCGGCTAGTTGAAAATCTAGTATGCATAGGTTAAAATAAAATACAAACATACTCTCTAATAGCGAATTCCATAAACTATAAGTATGACTAAAACCCAAAAATCCCCAAAAAATCCAAAAATCCGTTAATTTTTGGTTAATTTTTGTCTTTTTTCGTTATTTTCCGTTAATTAACAGAAAATTAACGGAAATTAACCTCTGTCCGCTATTAACGGATCCGGGTGGCCACCTCTAGTCTGGGAAGAATCCTTGCCGGACGATCACCATATCTATGATGCGGTGCAACACGCTGGGATGGGTTTACAACTCTCGCTCGACATGCAGAATCTGGCCCCTGCAGTCAGGGCTGAGATTGCCATGCAATTTGAGACCATGTGCTGCATGGGTCTCAAGCCGGCGTGGGATGCGGCCAGGAGGGACATAGAGTTGTCGTAGCTACACATACTGGACAACAAACCGGTGATTTGGAGAGGCATAGCGGTTATTGAGGATGACATTCGGGCAGCCAGGGTGAAGGTGGTCAATGATTTTTTCCACCAACGGTTGAAGGTGTCGTCTTTAGAGGAGGCATTCAATGAAGACGGGCCGTTGAAGGCACTGGAAGCGGACAGGGCGTTCCTTATGCGTTTGCCGCCGACCCCTCCTAGGCGAGATTTGCGGTCGCCTTCCTTCAGAAGGGCGATTGCGGAATGGCATGCTCGTGATATGGCCATCCAGGCGAAGTGGAGGTTCGATGCTGTCCGAGCGGAGATCCAAGGATGGCTTCAGGGGCACAAGCCCAGGCCTGATTTCGAGCGGGAGAAGACGCCCCCTGTTGAGAAGCATGGGTGAGCTGGGTGGCGCAAGGCGCATGGTGCGGGCGTAGGGCAGAATATTTTTGATGTGACATGTAAGTATTGCCTGGACCGTATATGAAATCAAGGGGATGTCCTGAGGGTATGCGGACGGGCAGAAAAGTGATGTGGGTGAACTGACATGGACGTGGTGAAGGAAAGGGGGATCAAAGGGGTTTGATAAGATGACCAGTGGGGCGGTGCGAAGGTCAAGTTGTAAGGGGTATCCAGATGTGTGGTTGTGGGGAAGATCTGGATCCCAAAGTGGACCTTTTTGGTGGACCTTTGCAATTGTCGTATGAACCTGGTTGGTTGAGCGAACATTCTCAGCACCCAGTCTCTCTGCAGCGAGATATTGTTGACTTGGGGCAATGCAAAGATGGCAATGTCCGATGTGGTACTGAGACCACACATTGTGCTGGTGTCCTGGAGCTTTTCAATTCCAGACTCCGTGAGAAACAAAAAGGCTGCACGAGGAGTCCACTAATGACTAATAGCAAGGTTTCCCAGTGCTAGCAATGCAATGCACCGCAGGAAATCGGGAAGCTGCAACTGTACCAATCCAACAGGTGGGCACACAGAGCTGCTGTCTGCAATTGGCTGCTTGCGAGTACCTGGCACCAACACAAAGCTGCGAGGTGCTCGTTTGCAGGTAGCACAGTGGTTCATGGTACCCCCTTCTAGCATAAGGCCCGTCGGCACTGCAGTGCTGGCCAGCGTGATCAACACATTGATCAGACCTTCCCACAGTCAGGGGCTTGCATCTGCTCATGCCAAACACTTTCTCACACTGCCAAGGGTCAGCACCATACAATGCTGTGCATAAGCGGGACACAATTCTCCCATAGTCCCTCCCAGATGTGAGCATCATCCACCCCCCTTCTCTCTCTCAGACACCTCCATGCAGCAGTGCACTCATTTACATAACAGTTCAGGTCAAATACCAAAGCTACTCATTGCCACCACAAGCTTAGACAAGTTTGTGGGGCCGCCACCGCAGTGAAGGCAACAAAAACTGACCAGCACCCAGCGACACGGCGCAGCAACCCTTGCAGCCATTGAATGCCATCGGCAAATCCATGCCCTCTGCACTCATGCTTCTTTGCCCTCTCATCTTGCGCCAGACCGTTTGCTGGGATCAACAGCCCGAAGCTCCACCGGCTTCGAAGTCAGACTCAAAAATAGACCACGAAGACACCAGAGAGGATGCCCCACTCACTGGACCCACAGGCAGGTACTGTACAGAAATACAATTGAATTCACAGTTTTGAGCGCGCCGCCACGAGGCGGCAGCCTTGGGGGGAAGGCCAGGTGCTCCACATCATGCCCAGCCTTTCAGATCGACGAACTTCCAGCGTCATCCGTCAACCTCGTATGCCCGCCCCGTCTTCTTGGCGCCGGATCAAAACAAAGGACGGCGAAACGCCCCACAACGCAAAAATCAAAGCACGCGCGCCGCGGGGAGGCGCCATCACGGCCGCGACGCCGGGGCGGCCCACGCCGCCCAGAGCTGCCCCTCCTCGTCCACCAACCCACCGACAGCCCCGCATCTCGAAACCACTCCCATCGGCCTCCCAACCTGCAACCCTTGCGAGGCAGCCGAATCGTCCACCTTGCCCCTACGCCTCGCCCCTCCTCTCCTCGCAAACAATTCGCGCGTCCTCCGAGCCACAAAAAATCCAAACTCCAATCCGGCCCACCCTCATCCCCTCCCCCATCTCCGACACCCGTCCGCGACACCCCCACACCCGCCTCATTCCCCCTTGGCCTGGTCGCCGTAGGCGGCAACGTTGACGTAGTCATCCAACGTCGCGTCGTCGACGGGCGCCTGTGGCTTCTGGCCCTTGCCCGCCGCGGGTCCCACCAGGCGCAGGCGCGCCAGCCACAGGACGGCGCCGTCGCCCAGCAGGCCGAACACGCGTCCAAAGTACCTGTCAAGGTAGCCGGTCACGAACCTGGAGGCGTCACCCACCGCCCTGTCCACCCTCGCCTCGTGGGCCGCCAGGAAGGGCTGCAGCGACTGGCGGTAGATGAGGCTGGCGCCCTGCGTCTTGGGGTGCCACAGGTAGACCACGGACAGGATCTTGAGCAGATTGTACATGGGCAGCCACCAGAGGGCGAAGTCCGCCAGGCGCTCCACGGAGGCGAAGGTGGCGATGACCAGCCAGTACTCGCACCAGCAGCGCAGCTCCTCGGGCCTGCGTTTCTCCAGGGCCTTGAAACACTGGTAGCCAGGCCAGATGTAGGCCGCCAGAGTCAGCACGGCCTGGAGCACGGTCTGAAGGAACATCGCGCGTCCACACTACGGAAGGCTCGGCGTTGCTGCAGGGCGCTGGGGTCGGCGCGCGTGCCCCTCCGCCTCCGCTCAGCTTCACAGTCCTTCCCGCTGCCCAGCGGCGTCCGCAGTGGCCGGGTTTGCACCACCCAGCAAATGCGGCCTGGAGCACTTTTTTGTCGCCGTTACGCACACCAGCCCCGACGTGACGCGGGGTGGGAGCCAGTGCCTTGGGGACTTCTGTGCAGAGGTTATCGTGTCCAGGGTCGAAATGGCCACCGAGGGTTGTCGCACCGTTCTCGAAAATGGGGACAAAAACGAGAATGTGTAAGTCCTTGTTATGCAAAAGGCGGCGGGGGTCACGCGCGATGGACCAATGCGTCGCTCAATCGTACACGGAGCACACTCGCACTCAGACCGTTTTGAGCCAGTGCCATCCGCCGCAAGGTGTTAGGCGCATAAGGGGCATCCTTACACATGACAACATCCATTTATAGTACAAAGTTCCTCGTTCGTTTTACTTGCACCCTTGCTGGCTCCCTTTCTGTCCATACTGCTTTCCCTTGGATTTCTCACTGAAACCCAGGATCCCAGCTAACCCCTGCCAACCTGTCCCACTTTCCTCCGCATGCCCTACCCCGTAGTCTCCCTTAGCCCTCCCTATTCCTATCCACAAAGCCGTACTAGCACGAAGTCACCCCAAGCCCGTCCTAACTCCGCCCCCAAAGCCCTCACTATCACCTTCACTCCATTCCTACCTTACCTGCCCTACTCGCTGACTGCCGTCCCACCGTGCTGCAGGGACAGGACCTCTCTTTTCCTTACAAATGCTTTTCGAAAATGAACGCAGATGGAAGACTTTCGGATGGGCACTGTCACATTAGCTACAGATAACGACCATTTAATGCATTTGTAGTAGTAGCACTATGCGTGCTTGATGACAAAGCCAGTGTATGCGGTTTCACAGTACTCCCGTCCAGTTGGTTGTGTTTGTGATCTAAAAATAAATGGCAGTGCATTTTCCACCATACAAGCAGTCATACAGATGGTGGTAAGTGACGTCCCTCAAGTGGACATGCCGCCCTCGGTCATACAAATAGCAACACCTTCACAAATAAGTGTTATCACTTATCTACAAGTTGGTATTGGTCAGACATACACAACAGATCACGCCGAACCCTGTCTGACCAATCCACTTTTATGAAGCCACCACTTCCATATAGTTTGTGACCCAGCCTTGCACATACCATGTAGGCTTACACATTCTAAGACACTATACTTTAGCTAGTATATGGCAATGACGCGGACAATTTATAGTGGCAAATACTTTGCAATAAATTGTAATGGATGTTAATAATTGTGGGCCGCAGATGCAAGAGCACGATGCGGCTGTGCCAATTGTAGTCGATTGTTTTGGAGAGTTCTTATTCCCTACCTCCTTAAGTGCGGTGCGTGCACCTTGTATGGGACCGTGAGCAGTGCAACCATCAAGCCCGGGCTAGATAGAGCCTGGGACACGCCGTCCGGTTGAGAGGAAGACATGCTTCTAATGGACCGGCCGTGGGACGTGTACAAGGTGACCTAGACGTGGTGGTACGGGAGTCTTGCTCCCTGGGTGCGCGAAGCGGAATGAAGAGGGAGTCAATCGATCCCCGAGTGGTTATTCATTAAACAGACGATACAATTATTACTCATACACTCTAGCCTCACAATCAGTTTCCATTCCTAGGCCATCACGCCACATTTACGCTCAATATCCTCTTATGCAGGCATTTACCAAGGGCAAACATGTACTCCAAAACAAACCCAACACCAGGTCCTCACATAACCCATGTTAGATAACCCAACATTCCGGGTTGCAGCCCGTCAAAAATCAGGACTAACCCTAGTCTCCGTCAAAATGCAGATAAGCGCCCCGTTGCTCACACTTACCTTCCTAGCCGGTTGAGACCAGTGTTATGCGAGCCCCCGAAAGTCAAGACATTGGCCCCTCATCTACCCTAGTTGGTTTGAGTGTTATGAGCATGCCACACAAACCACCGGCCCTCCGCGCAAGCTTGTAGGCAAGGCACACACAACTTGCAAACCACAAAAGACTTATAGGCTTGTATGAGCTTGTTTGACAAAGGGACACCATCCCGTTAGCCACCACCGACTAAATACTCTTGCTGCAAGGGCCTTGCAACCTACAATATCCCCTTCCCACTCACACCGAATCTCACTCCCTATTCTTTATTTGGAACTTCGCCACTATTCCCCCTTTAACTCCTGTGGCCCCAACATTCCCCCTGAGGTAACTACTCTGGTGCTATATACCCTTTCACACTCAGAACTCTACCTAATACATTCACTATTCCCTTTTCAAATTCTTAAGCTTGACCCATGGTCCACCGGCTCACCATCCACCTCCACACTATCACATCCGCCTCCACCCTCCGGTCCCGAAGGCCCGTTGCCAGAGGGCCTTCGGGACCGGAGGGTGGAGGCGGATGTGATAGTGTGGAGGTGGATGGTTGGAGGTGGAGGTGGTTGGAGGTGGAGGTTAACCTCCTGGTGAAGTGGTTGTAGCCCCAATTACTCCGCTCATGCAAACCGCTCATAGTTCCATCCCTGGAAGGCTTCTCTGTAACTCCTCCCTACGTCCTCTGTAGTCCATGCAGTGTTGGTCTAGTGTGCCAACTTAAAAAACGCACACCCCACTAGATCTCCGGCTGAACCTTGGACTGGCTTGTGACCGAGAAGCGTGTTGGGATTGCCCCCTGTTCCGAGAGCCATGCCATGACTCCCATCTGCAGGGCATGGGTGGGGGCACCGGTGACGAAACTTGCTGGCTCCCATCTTCAGCGTTGCTCCATGGCTCTCTCCAGCTGGTCGCAGATGTCCTCGTGAAGTTCCTCCATTAGTGGGGCTATAGCACCTCCCTCTATCTACGTTTCCGCATCCACACCGAGGTCCTACAGCTCCTACACCCACGCATCAAACTCCTACACAAAGAAGCGTGGTTTGACATAATCGGAGAGTGGCAGAAACACGTTTTGATGGTCCGCCGCGATCTTGTTCCTCTAGATGGAGCACTCCACATGCCACTCCGGATGCCCATCCAGTGGGCGCGCGATGTGCCACCCAACCAGCCAGCACCGTACCTGCGTGAGCTCCCATTCCAGCTCATAGCGCCACATGGCAAGGGGCCACGACACCCTTGTAATGATGCTTTAAATGTACACTGCAGTCCTCTCCCACCCAGGCACAAAAGACCAAAGGTCTGTGCCAGAAATGAAATTGTCTACAAACATCAGACATACAACAAAGTGTTCAATCCCTGCTAACATCTGCACTCAATCAATCAAATTTGGTCCAGCTGAGCCTCTCCCATCTGAATTGCCTTCAGGCCCTACGTGTAGGTCTCGGTGAAGCACATCCCACAGAAAAACCAATATCCAAAGGTGAAACCACCAACCACGCGGAGGGCGGGCGGGTGCGAAAATAGTGGCGACACAGCGAGGTGCATAAGCTTACAACAAGAGTGCGACCTCGGCTGTGGTGAGAGTGAGAAGGTGTCCATTGACTGACGGAAAGGCCAAAACCAGACTGTGTGAGTGTCCTTCACAAATCGTCCAGCCCTGGCCTATCCGTTCAATTTAAACTCTCTTTACTGATCGTAAAGGCCACTTAAATGTACACTGCAGTCCTCTCCCACCCAGGCACAAAAGACCAAAGGTCTGTGCCAGAAATGAAATTGTCTACAAACATCAAACATACAACAAAATGTTCAATCCCTGCTAACATCTGCACTCAATCAATCAAATTTGGTCCAGTTGAGCCTCTCCCATCTGAATTGCCTCCATCTTTCCAACAATGAGGGGCCCAGAGCCCCTGCCCCAAGCGGAGACCGGCTTCAGGACGAGCCTCCGAAGGCGGGAGTAGCTTGACCAGATAGTGGAGGGGAAGCAGGGCAGCCAAGGTAGATTGAGCCTGGACGGGGTGACAGATCATCCCCCGAATCGAAATAGGAGCTGGGTGAAGAAGGCGGAGGAGGGCCAGGGGAAGCAATGCTGGTTGAGGGAGCTGCAGCTTGAAAGAGATGGCTGAATTGCTGTGCCAGCTGCTCCCCCGTCCCTCGTAGCCAGCCAAACATTTGGAAATCGGAGGGGGTGGCGACGTGTGTGAAGTCAATGTACTTGGTCACACTGTCGGAAGAAACAGACCATCCACCCCAGTAGCAAACCCGCTGGAGGGGTGCGCCAACCGCAAAGGCGGCGGTGGCCCCCCTGCGACGAACATCGTGGTGGGTGTAACGAACACCATCACCGAAAAGGTCACGGAAATGGATCCGGCTCGCCATGTCAAAACAAGTCCCAAGAAACCTGGCCGTAGGGGCCGGCTCGTCCGGCAGCTGCCAAAGAAAGGAAGACTCTGGCCTGTTGGCTTGAAGCCACGCCGCATGGCGGGTAGCCACCCACCGCCTGAACAAGGAAGGGAAGGCAGGGATGCCTGCCGTTTGAAAACTGCGGCGCCGGAACGATAGATTGGCGACCTGCTTGCCCTTGTATCTGCGTTCGGTAAACAAGATCGCCGGAGAAGGTCCCTCAATGATAGATACATCGCCTACCTCCGTCGCGAAGGAAGAGTCAGCCCTGGACAAAAAGGCTGTGTCGAAAACCACCACCAAGGCCGCGCGGATCTCCTGTGGAGCATTCCTGCGGCACCCCTCCTCGGCCAGCTGGAGGACGATCGAAGTGGGGAGTGGCACAGCCTGCTTCTTGGAGATAAGGGGGCTGACCTTGAGACGCCACGACTTGAGAAGTTGCTCCACGACCGAGTCATGGGGGCGCAGGTCGGGGAACGCCAGCCACCGGTGCACAGTGGCAATTGCACTGATGTACTGGGGCACGCTCTGTACTTGGATGCGGGTGCTATCCCGCAGAGATTGTACGTAAGCCCAGACCATCGGCTGTTCAGTCGGTATGGGGCTCCACCTGCGCTTGGCCTCTGAGCAGAAGCGCCAGTATTTGCCG